TCATAAGATAATTCATCTTTAGAGTAAAATCTGCAATTCTAAGACATTAGGTTATTGGATAGGTTTGTGCCATTATTTCAGACTTAGATGTTAGAAAAGCGGAAATTGTGATACATTACATGCCATCTGGAAAAGGAGTCTTACAGGAAAGCTTACTTCACTTATCCAAGTACTTTGGCTGTGGAATAGATTGAAGGAATTGAAAATGAAAGTTTAGAGAGCGAAATAGCTCAACCAACAGCTTAATTTTTGAAATGCTAGGACTTGAAGCCAATAACGAAATCCATTAAAATGCCCATTCCTCACGGTAGGGCTTTATGAAGGATCACAGGAGATACATGCTACTGTGGTAAAAATCATAAAATATTCTGAAAAGTGGTCTAGTGGGGTTATTCGTTATGCTTATTACTAAGATGTTAAATCATCGCATAGCAAGTCTCCAGTCTCCAGAGTTAAGGTGGGTATACGGTGGGAAGGTCACAATTACCCTTAGTGGAAAAGAAAAAATTGAATAATTTCATGTCTACCTTGGGAACTGGATTTAGCTTGGGGAGTGGATATGGTTTCTGCTATCAGTATGTTAATTAATCACAGTAGAGCAATTTTCGGACAAATTAGTGAATCCGATCCTACATCGTATACCTATGTACGGAGTCCTAAAGCAGGATCTTACCGTTTGTATGGCTATGATTCTTGCAATCAGCTTAGCCAATTACATTATTATTTAGCGATTTTGTAAACTCCTAACTCATCACAATCTAGAAGAAACGTTAATTAAGCTTTTCTCAGTCTCTGGACATTAAGCACTTCTAATTCAAGAAAACCGAACGCCTTGAACAAGCTTAGTGCATTATATGTGAAGGGAGACATCTACCCGATTCTACGCAATCTGTTGTCCAATAAAATTTCAAATTCTTAATATATTTTGAGGTTAAAGAAAAGGCACAAATTATCTGATAATCCAATACACGCAAAAAATTACCCTTTGATGCAACTTCAGTATCTCTTGAATATTGATGAAGGTAACAAACTATTCTGTTCATTTAGGAATTTCGAAGAAAACTCTTCTTGCTGCAGAGACTACAAGCGACATTCTCGTAAAAACAATGATCCGCATTTTTGCTGCATCTCGCTTTATATCATAGAATCCATTTCAACAAGTCATAGTCATTAAGATGGACAATGATTTAGCTTATACCAAATAAGATATTGAGCATTTGCATCAATCCAGTTCTACCTGGATATGCACCAATATTATAGCAAAAATCATATAAGTTGGAGTTTTTCGAATTCATTTCTTTCTTCAGTTACTGTTATAACCTAGACTAATCCCTGGAAACGTCATGAACTATTATAGCAACACTAGGCTCAGTTTATTTTGTTGATCTAGCGTTACTTTAACTTGCATTGCTCAGGGCTATATAAGAGAAGTTCAAACTAAGCAATTTGAAGCAAAGAAAAAAGTGATTTGGCCATTCATTTTCTTCTAGGACATAGCATAGCATGTACCAACAGCGCATGCTTCTTTCGTAAATTCTACCCGACAGGTAGGTGCATCGGGCATTTGAAGAGAAAACCTACCTCAATCATACCATGTCCGCATCGGAACGCGGACGTCGTGAATTCGTTCGCGATTGTCGCATCAACATTTTTATCGTAGCCGTGGTAATCACCAATGACCTTTGCATGGGCGACACCGAGCAATTTTGGCAGATACTCCTAAAAAAAGCGCGTTCCGTTGTTATAATAGCATTGGGCCTAGAATAGATGTCTTACTTTGTAGAGAATATGCTGGAGAATTCCTCCAATAATTTTTCTTGTTTCTTGGAAAATTCGATCTCCACTCCATCCACGATTGAGTTCTTGCAAGCGACGAGCAATCCTAAGAAAGTCAGAACTTGAGTATAGAAGGAATGCCTACGTATTACGAAATTTTCTCTTTTGCGGTAAATGCAAATGTCTTACTGATGTTAAACGCAACGCAATGGTTATTGTAAACACTACACTATCCTTGTGGCTAACAGGTTTTTGAGTCATGAAG